GGGGGGGGGGGGGAGAGGGAGAGGACATACACGTTGAAAGTTCCGGTGACGGTGTCGTTGGCAGACCTGACGGCGGCTTCGAGATCGAATCCGGCGACTAGGGTGCCGCTAGTGCTCTCATCTGAAGCTTTCGAAGCCGAATAGGAGTTCCAATCGGCAAGCAGAGACGAAGACGTTTGCTGCTGTTGTTGTGGTGGTAAATCATTGTCAGCGCTGCTCAGAGAAAACCACTTCTGCATCTTGTAAGGGATGATTTAACTCAGCTCCCAAACGAAACGACTATGATTCAGTGAGAATGGTAACAAACGGCCTTCTTTATCGTGAGAAAGACACACAATAATGTCGAATCAATTTGCAATGAATCCCAAGAGTTTATGACAGACCCGTAAACAAGATCTTCTCTGCTTCTAAAGTTTTGCTGTATTTTTATTTTGGGGATTTATTTTTTTATTAAAATTTTAATTTGTAACCTCAATGTCTTAAAATTATTCAAATGCCACCCCCACATAAAAAATTTCATTTAGCTTATTTAGAAAATAAGTTGAACTTTTATGAGTGTGAACCCGAGTTTCTCGATCTCATGTTTTTTAAACAAACTTAAAAAAATATTTAAATTCGACTTGTTTGAAAGATGAGTTAAATTCAAACCGGGGCCAAACCTAAGCTGAGTCTGAATAACTTGAGTATTTTACATATAAATAAGCATTTTAGGCTCGAGTCGAGTCTTTTTAAGTTCGTTTTTGTAAATAAATTTAAAAAATTGTTCAAATTCAACTCATTTAAAATATAAGTCAAGCTCAAATCAAGTCTAAGTAACTTATCTCGATTAATACCTCTAAATTTAACTATAAAATCGTTGTAATTTGCAATGCCACTTGTAAGTCACATGTTTTATTTTTATACAAAAAACTATGTTGGATCACATTGTTATAATTTTATGATATTAAAGGTGTAAATTAAAATTTGTTAATCTTTAAAGGTATAAATTAAAATTTATTTTGAGGCGAAAAATGTAAGTCGTTATGCTGTCTTCGTGAGTTTTTACGGTCGAACAAAAAAGCCTTAATTCTTACGCAAAATGGAGTTTTGGCCAAACATAAGGAAACGATGTCGTATTACCGACTGTACATAGGACACTGGTAGCAAATAGGGATGTTCAAATTTTTGATTGACCGTAATTTTTTACCCTACCCGACCCTATCCTACCCTACTGAACGGCTAACCGCAAAAATAGGGTAGAAATGAGAAAAAAATTTTGGTCTTTCGATTAAATTAGGTAGGAATGTGAAATATCCATCAATTTTCGCATTCCTACCCTATTCTACTCGTAAAAAATATATTTAAATTTTTTTTATTTTTTTTTAGTAATTATAAGAGTATTTGTGTGGTATAATTTATTTTATAACATTGATATTATTGTGGATGTTTGAGTTGTGAAAATATAGACTTGTGTTTTGTGTAGGTTACATGATATGTGATGAACTAATGAACTATTGGAGCAGTTATGATTTTAATGTATTTCATATAGTTTAAACTTAACATAGTTGTGTGTATTTGTGTAACAATTATGATAGATTAATGTTCATACTTTCTTATATTTTATTGTAATTGTTATTGTAGTTGTTTTAGGTTTTAGTGTTATTGATTTATTATGTTGTTAAATTGGTACATGTTATTTAATTGAATTGTTAAAATGATTCAAAAATTAATAGATTCAAAAATTAATAGATACAAAAATATTTACCCGACTTTCTACCCGATTATTCGAGTAGAAATACCACACCTAATCGGATAGGATAGGCCAAGAAAAAATTCTTCCGCAAATTATCAAGTAAAAAGACGAAAGACAATATTTCCTACCCGTAGGGTAGGGTGAAAACCCTTAATAGCAAACGACGTCGAATTACTAATTTCTCATTTCTCCTCCTCAAACATTAAACAACCAGCCATTTACATTGCTTTTTTATCCTGGGTATGTTTAGAGTTACTTTTTAAAATTATTTTTAGAAATTATTTTATATAAGTACTTTAAAAAAAAAAGTAGTTTTTTGGAACCGTTTCATAACCACCACCACCCCCATCGCTCAACCACCATCACCCCCCAACCACCATCATTGCCTCACCACAACCATCGCTACCGCACCTAACATCATCACCACCGCTATCGCACTTTACCACCACCATCATTGTCACACTATCATCCTTACTACCCCCACGACCATCACAAATACCACCACCATCCTCACTGTCCCACCATTATCCTCATTGCCCCACCACCACCCCACCCTCATTGTCCCACCGCCACCACCACTAATTGCTACCATCGTCGTCCATTGTCACCACCCAACACCCATCACCATCATTATTTTATTCTTATATTTATTATCATTACATCATCATCTCACTACCATTGTTGCCACACCGTCAACACCACCACTACTATTGTTGCCCATTGTCACCCACTACCACAACCCACCATCACCCGTTGTCGCCCACCATAGCCATCAACCACTATTGCCCACCCTCACCACACCTACAATCACCACCTGTCAACGCCCACCACTACAACCACCCACTGTCACTTATTCTCACCTCACTTATCATTGGTGTCATTCATCATCACCCATCACACTATCACCTAGAAGCATCCATTATCGCCCACCACCACCATCATCGTCCCACCATCATCACTGTCAACCGACATCACCGTCGTCCACCACCATCCACACCCACACCCACCACCATCACCGTCACCCACAACTCTCATTACCATTATCATCACCCACCACCATCATCACCATTGTCACTCACAAATTGTGACCACCATCACGGTTGTCACCACCCACCACAACCATTACCATTTTCCACCATCACCACTGTTGCCCACCACCACTAACCCCGCTCACCTCATTACAATCGATACTTAATTTTTTTATCTCTTTTTTATGTTTATGATTTAATTTTGGGTGTGAATATAAATATGTTTATTGTTGATTTTTTTTTTTATTACTTCATGCTTTTAGGCACGAGGAATAACTAATTCTTGTATTAAAAATATTAATACGTATCAAACACAACGTAATAATTTTTAATCGAGGATCTTTAAGCATTGCACTGGTCGTCTCACCAGTCACCATGACACCATCAAATTCATAATAACTAATGAGTTAGTTAAAAAAATACCCCTTTGAACTTTATGTTACATTTAATTAATTACCTCTGATTTTAGTTTTAACAATTTATTCTCTCAAAGTTCAAATATTTATTGATGATGTATAAAATCGTCTCGTGCAAGATCAACAGTCGAGTGTGTGATAAAGTGTAATTAATGAACAATTAATAAAGCAATTAACGACAATAATGTAAATATCGGGTCATCATAAGATATATAGTGGTTCGGTTTGGGTGACTTACTCCACTCCAAAAAATAGCATCAGGTCTTTATTAATAAAGTAAGGTAAACGAGAGAAAGAGAACAATGGTTAGCTCTAGGAGGGGGTAAAATGGCTAGGGGAAAGAGAGAAACTATGTGTGTGTAGAAAGATGTAGAGATACTTCTCTCGATGGAGAGAGTTTAAAACTTATAGGCATGAAGCCCTTAGGTAAGGCGATGATGTGAGAGTAAAGACACTAGTTTTTCGGAGAGGATAGCTACAAAAAGTAAGTACAATTAAAGATTATTTTGATCTTCGAGAGTGAGTATCCTAATAATTGCTTCCCGCATGCTCTAATCCTTCTGGACTTCTTGAACTCTGGACTTGACCAAATCTATGAATTGGGCTTAACCCATCTTGTAGCTGATTTGAGCCTAGCTTATTAATTGGGTTTGGCCCAATTAAATCTAGGCTTGTCATTTACAAATTAAGTCAAACATTTAATTTTAACATTGAAAAAATGATTAAAAAAATTTTATTTGCAAATCATATGATCTCAAATTAAAGAAAAAGTCACCCTTTAAATCATTTTATCTTGGGAAAAAAAATAGAGTTTTTTGACGCGAGGAAAATTTTTTAAATTTAAGGTTTTTTTTTTAATAAATCTGAGATCATGTGACTTAATTTTTAATATCGAAAATAAAAATTTGAGTTAATTAAAAAATGTATAAAACTTTGAGGAAAACTTAAAAAGGGCATTTTGTAACTAACCTATAATAAATCAGTATTGGGTCGAGCCGAAACTAACCCAATCCGCCAACCGATCTGCGCCCATTGCTGGGCCTTATCAGCCAGATCTGAAAAAGGATGATTAGCCCAATCATACCAATAATAATGGGCCTTAAATTAGTGATTTTTATTTTTAAATTAAATACTGTTTTATGAAATTGAATTGTTCTAAAGTTGACATTGATTCAATAAAAAATATTTGTATTGATTGAGATAAAAGTTTGAAAGTTTTATTGTGAAAAATAAAATAATATTTAGGATCTTATAAATGATTTTTTTTAATTTTTTATACTAATTTATAATTACCAAAAATTACATGTCAATTAGTTTGAATAATATCAAAATGAGTATGAAGTTACATGTTCAAGTCTTAAAAAAGTATTGGTCTTAATTTTGATTTTATTTTTTCATTTAATCAATATAAATAAAATAATTATTCATAAATTTTTAAATGAATTCTCGAAATATTGAGAAATCATGGTTTTTTTTTAAAAAAATAAAATGTAAAAAATAAATGCAGTTTATCCTAAAACAATTTGATTGGCTAGGAGAATGCTTCACAAGAGGGGTTATTAATCATTCGGGAGGGCCTTTACGCCTCAATGGGACGATTTAATCGCACCCCACTTATTAATGATTTTACATTAGAAGGATCTAGAAACCCTAGCGGAACTTCCCTATATAATGACTCTACCTCACTCTCAGTGCGCTGTCTCTCGTGCTCTCTCTAAACCCTAGCTTTATTCTCCGTCATCTCTAGCATCTGCGAAGTTTTGATTTTCAGAGATCGTAGTAGCGGTCATCAGAAATGGCGGATACAGAGACGTTTGCTTTCCAGGCTGAGATCAACCAGTTGCTGAGTTTGATCATCAACACTTTCTATAGTAACAAGGAGATCTTTCTACGTGAACTTATCAGCAATTCCTCGGATGTAAGTTTCTTTTGTAGTTGTACTCGGATCGGTTGGATATGATTTTTCTTTCTTTAATAGATATATTTTCTGTTGATAGATTCAGTTTTTTTTTTTGATGTGATTCATCTGTTATAGACATGTTTTTTGAATTGTGATTTGTTTTTTTTGTTTATTGCTGTTTTTGTTATGCCGGTCCATTTTTTGATGTGATTCATCTGTTATAGATTGTTGCTATATGTAGATCATGTTCTTTGAATTGTGATTTATTTATTTTTCCTGTTTCTGTTATGCCGATCCAGATGTTAAGATTTTGTAAGGATCTGTTTATTTTCAAGATCACTTGGCGTAACAGTGGAAACAAACTGAAAATATATAGATCCTCGAGTTGTGTGTTTTCTTTGTTGTTTTAGCTCGATTTTTTTTCCTGAAGAGAAGTTGTAGAATTTTTAGTGGTTCTTATGTTTTACCAGAAACCGAACAGATCTTTAGTGATTTGTGAGACTTCNTTGGTCTTAATTTTGATTTTATTTTTTCATTTAATCAATATAAATAAAATAATTATTCATAAATTTTTAAATGAATTCTCGAAATATTGAGAAATCATGGTTTTTTTTTAAAAAAATAAAATGTAAAAAATAAATGCAGTTTATCCTAAAACAATTTGATTGGCTAGGAGAATGCTTCACAAGAGGGGTTATTAATCATTCGGGAGGGCCTTTACGCCTCAATGGGACGATTTAATCGCACCCCACTTATTAATGATTTTACATTAGAAGGATCTAGAAACCCTAGCGGAACTTCCCTATATAATGACTCTACCTCACTCTCAGTGCGCTGTCTCTCGTGCTCTCTCTAAACCCTAGCTTTATTCTCCGTCATCTCTAGCATCTGCGAAGTTTTGATTTTCAGAGATCGTAGTAGCGGTCATCAGAAATGGCGGATACAGAGACGTTTGCTTTCCAGGCTGAGATCAACCAGTTGCTGAGTTTGATCATCAACACTTTCTATAGTAACAAGGAGATCTTTCTACGTGAACTTATCAGCAATTCCTCGGATGTAAGTTTCTTTTGTAGTTGTACTCGGATCGGTTGGATATGATTTTTCTTTCTTTAATAGATATATTTTCTGTTGATAGATTCAGTTTTTTTTTTTGATGTGATTCATCTGTTATAGACATGTTTTTTGAATTGTGATTTGTTTTTTTTGTTTATTGCTGTTTTTGTTATGCCGGTCCATTTTTTGATGTGATTCATCTGTTATAGATTGTTGCTATATGTAGATCATGTTCTTTGAATTGTGATTTATTTATTTTTCCTGTTTCTGTTATGCCGATCCAGATGTTAAGATTTTGTAAGGATCTGTTTATTTTCAAGATCACTTGGCGTAACAGTGGAAACAAACTGAAAATATATAGATCCTCGAGTTGTGTGTTTTCTTTGTTGTTTTAGCTCGATTTTTTTTCCTGAAGAGAAGTTGTAGAATTTTTAGTGGTTCTTATGTTTTACCAGAAACCGAACAGATCTTTAGTGATTTGTGAGACTTCATTATGCAATTAATTTACTTCCTTTTTTGTTGATTTTTGATTGCCATTTCATTTTGATAATTTGTTCTTGACAACGGTGAAGTTTGTTTCTGCCATTTGGAAGAAAGATTGTGTTGTTTGGTAGAAGGGGATCAAGACTGGAATTGGAATTGGATAAAAGATGGTTTTGAGGGTTGAACTAATTTTTGAAATAACCACTGTGCCATAATGACATGCTGCAAAGACTCCATTAGGATCTCATTTGGGTTCTTTAAACTTTTTGCCGTTATGTTTTATATCCACCAACTTGTTTTCCTGTGTAGTTTGTTTGAATCCTCTTTTTTCTATTGCGTCTCACACAAGAGGGGTATTTGAGTGTAAGGAATCTTGAATGCCACATTCTTGATAGAGATTAGGTTTTCAGAGATATTTAGCTTAAGAGAAATGTATTGATAGTTTTTCCAGAACTTCTAATCTGGTGGTTCTTATATTGATAGGCTCTTGATAAAATTCGGTTTGAAAGCTTGACTGACAAGAGCAAGCTAGATGCACAACCTGAGCTCTTTATCCACATTATTCCTGACAAGACTAACAACTCATTGACCATCGTTGACAGCGGAATTGGCATGACCAAGGCCGGTTAGTAGTGTTCTCTCTGCATATCATTTAAGTGAGCCCTTTTTCAAGTGGTAACCCTGTCAGAATACTTAAAATGCTATTAAAAAATTGCAGATTTGGTGAACAACCTTGGTACAATTGCAAGGTCTGGGACTAAGGAGTTCATGGAGGCCATTGCTGCTGGTGCTGATGTTAGCATGATTGGGCAGTTTGGTGTTGGTTTCTACTCAGCTTATCTGGTTGCTGAGAAGGTCATTGTCACAACAAAGCACAACGATGATGAACAATATGTGTGGGAGTCCCAAGCCGGTGGGTCATTCACTGTGACCAGAGACACCTCAGGTGAGAACCTTGGCAGGGGCACAAAGATTACTCTCTTCCTTAAAGAAGATCAGCTTGAATACCTTGAGGAGCGCAGGCTCAAGGATCTGATTAAGAAGCATTCTGAGTTCATTAGCTACCCAATTTCTCTCTGGATTGAGAAGACAACAGAAAAGGAGATTTCCGATGATGAGGATGAGGAAGAGAAGAAAGATGAGGAAGGAAAAGTAGAGGAGGTTGACGAAGAGAAGGAGAAGGAAGATAAGAAAAAGAAAAAGATCAAGGAAGTGTCCCATGAGTGGTCTTTGGTGAACAAGCAGAAGCCCATTTGGATGAGGAAGCCTGAGGAGATCAACAAGGAAGAGTACTCAGCTTTCTACAAAAGCCTCACCAATGATTGGGAGGAACATTTAGCGGTAAAGCACTTCTCAGTTGAGGGCCAGCTAGAGTTCAAGGCCGTTCTATTTGTTCCCAAGAGGGCTCCATTTGACCTTTTTGACTCAAAGAAGAAGCCCAACAACATTAAGCTTTATGTCCGACGTGTCTTCATTATGGACAACTGTGAGGAGTTGATCCCTGAATACCTGAGTTTTGTGAAGGGTATTGTGGATTCTGAGGACCTTCCTCTTAACATCTCTAGAGAAATGTTGCAGCAGAATAAAATCCTCAAGGTCATCCGCAAAAACTTGGTGAAGAAGTGTGTCGAGCTATTCTTTGAGATTGCTGAGAATAAGGAAGACTATAACAAGTTCTATGAGGCTTTCTCAAAGAACCTCAAGCTAGGCATCCATGAGGACTCGCAGAACAAGTCCAAGATTGCTGAATTGCTTCGTTATCACTCTACCAAGAGTGGTGATGAGATGACTAGCTTGAAGGACTACGTGACCAGGATGAAGGAGGGCCAGAGTGACATCTATTACATCACAGGTGAGAGCAAGAAGGCAGTTGAGAACTCTCCATTCCTTGAGAAGCTGAAAAAGAAGGGCTATGAAGTGCTTTACATGGTTGATGCCATTGACGAGTATGCAGTGGGACAGTTGAAGGAATTTGAGGGAAAGAAGCTTGTTTCTGCCACCAAGGAAGGCCTCAAGCTTGATGAGAGCGAGGATGAGAAGCAGAAAAAGGAAGAACAGAAGGAGAAGTTTGAGGGTCTCTGCAAGGTAATCAAGGATGTATTGGGCGACAAAGTCGAGAAGGTGGTGGTTTCTGATCGTGTTGTGGATTCTCCCTGCTGTTTGGTGACCGGAGAGTATGGCTGGACGGCTAACATGGAAAGGATTATGAAGGCTCAAGCTCTGAGGGACTCGAGCATGGCTGGCTACATGTCGAGCAAGAAGACAATGGAGATCAACCCTGACAATTCCATCATGGAGGAGCTTAGGAAGAGGGCTGATGCGGACAAGAATGACAAGTCTGTGAAGGACTTGGTTCTCTTGCTGTTTGAAACTGCATTGCTCACCTCAGGGTTCAGCCTGGATGAACCCAACACCTTTGGCAACAGGATCCACAGAATGCTAAAACTTGGTCTGAGCATTGATGAAGATGCTGGTGATGCTGATGTGGACATGCCCCCTCTGGAGGAAGCTGATGCCGATGCTGAGGGCAGCAAGATGGAGGAAGTTGATTAAATCTTAACCATTCTACTTTGCTTGTTAGTAGTTTCTTTTAGTTTTCTATGCATTACTCTTTTGGTTGTGGTGTTGTTTTATGATAGAACAAGATTATTTTTGCCAATTTGAATTGATGTTTTGAATTTGGTTTTTGGTCACTTCAGTGTAATGGCAAACAGAGAGGTGCATTTAAGCCCTTCTTTCTAACTTCCTCAGGCATTCTTATTTTCTGATTTAACTTGGCACTTAGCAGTATATGTTTTGATACTTTCTGTTCTGTCGAGGTCCGAATGTTTTTGTAGTAGTATTCTTTATCTTGTGAAGGTTTTAGTTTTTAGATGTTAAGGGTTCAAGTTTTCCTACTGCCTGAATTTTTTTCCAAAATTTCTGAACACAGTCAGACTTGAGATGAAGTTGCCGGATCTTAGTATAGTCTTAGCATGGCTGATTGACTCGATCGAAATAAATACAAAATGAAACTGGTCAAGGCTTACGCCTAATTAACCTATTTATTCCTCTATATTAATCAGTAATAGGAGTTGGGAAAGATATTATAATATCATTTGGTTTTTGATGGATGAAGTGTTATTGTTGCTCCAGTGGATGTCCGTGGAATTGACATCACAATAATATAGGGTTCTATTGGAGAAATCCACAAAAAGAATCATTTCAATGGATTGACAAACCCAAGTACACAATACCTTTTGTTCAATTAAAACATATAATACCAAACAATGTTAAGGAAAAACATCCAGTGAAGAGGAAATGGAAGTTTCAAAATGTACACACACAAACCACTATTTTTCGACAAAACAAGCAGAGTGATGCAACATTGCGCTAATTGGGATCATTACGGACAACAATGAAACGCAGCTCCAGAATCAGGTATCCTCCACTCTCGAGTGAAATACAAAGCTTGGGAATGTAGTGGTGATGTCCCTGTTCAAAGCAGAATTACAAAACGCAAGTGCTTTAGCATGTTGTCAATAGTAATTTTCATATTTTAAATGAGATGATGACCAAAAACGTTTGGATAAATCAGTTACATGCGACCATGGGTTACAGTTTTGCTCATGACTAAACTAATAGTCTAGCCGACACAGAAGTGAGAATAAAGCAATGCATCTCAGAGAACAACCGATATCATCAAGGCAAACATGGCGGATCTCAACAAGCAACTTCGTCAATAAGACTCTGTTGAGTCCTTATGTAATCCAACCCAACAGTTTCTATGGACATCTTTCCTGCCCTTTGGGATAGGGTTGGGATTTTTGACCAGCAACACAGCTTGGATGCCAAGCTGTAATTGTGCTAGACAATGATAGAGGATGACTAAGTGTAAAATAATGTATGCATGTTGGTTTATAGTCTGTGTGTGTGTGTGAGAGAGAGAGAGACCCTTTAAATTGAGGGAGAGCATGAATTGGCGTATCACTGAGAATACCACTCATTTGTCAATTTGGCCCTATGTTTGCATTCGAATTACCCACACGATAAGAAGGGGGGGGGGGTATTATTAACTGCTTTATATGATTTTGAAATATGAACTTTCAAAGGAAGGAACCATTGGACTTACAAAGCATAAATCCGCAAAAGTACACAATCACTTCCCTACCAACGGAATCGAGAAAGGGCAGTGTATTTGCAACTTACTTGAGGTATTGAAGAGTCATATTCTTCAGAAGGGATGGATGTCGCAAAACAAGGGTTGTCCATTCTTCCTTATCAATCTTTCCATCGTGTTTCGTATCAGCCTCCTCAAAGGTCTGAAACAAAGCCCAAAACACAGTGAGGCAATCGAGCATTGCTGCTTGCAAGAAACCAAACATGAAATTCGCATAGCTCAAAAGTATGTTTTGACTGGGCAAACTCATACACACATACGCACACACATATATACATACATACACATACATGTACATACACACTATTTCAATGTGCAACCCAAAATGTGCATGGATATCGTGAGCAGCTATTTATCAACCTTATAGGCTGTAAATTTTTGGAGACAAAAAACAAAAAATCCAAAAGTTGCACCCTCAATTTCTTACATAACCCATGCTCGACCATTCAATGAGACTCGACACATTCCACAGATCGGCTGAAGCAATGTTGACGACTATAAAACCATGGGAGCATGCAATAATGCAACAAGAATATGATTCTCAAGATTCGGTTGACCAAGAGGATTAGTCATAGAGTGATCATCACATGGTGATGTTTTTGAGAAAAAAATGTCACAATATCCAGTAAAACTGTCAATTTTCGACACAACACGAACCGAACACGAAATTAATGGGTCTGACACAAAATTAAATGAGTTAATGAGTTAAAACAGGTCAACACGCTTAAACACAAAAAAAATTATGTCGAATTCATGTCAAAATCAGGTCAACTCGATTTTGACCTGATTAACCTGTATATTTTAAACGGGTTCACATAATTTATACACAAACCCGATCTAACTCATTATAGACCCGTTTAACCCGTTTATGGTAGTATAATTTGCTTATTATATATGGCTGATGTAATCTATTATGATAATTGACAGTATAATTCTTAACATTATTATGACAATATACTAGTATAGATCTTGCTTTAATCGATCTAACTCATTATAGACCCGTTTAACCCGTTTATGGTAGTATAATTTGCTTATTATATATGGCTGATGTAATCTATTATGATAATTGACAGTATAATTCTTAACATTATTATGACAATATACTAGTATAGATCTTGCTTTAATCGATCTAACTCATTATAGACCCGTTTAACCCGTTTATGGTAGTATAATTTGCTTATTATATATGGCTGATGTAATCTATTATGATAATTGACAGTATAATTCTTAACATTATTATGACAATATACTAGTATAGATCTTGCTTTAATCGATCTAACTCATTATAGACCCGTTTAACCCGTTTATGGTAGTATAATTTGCTTATTATATATGGCTGATGTAATCTATTATGATAATTGACAGTATAATTCTTAACATTATTATGACAATATACTAGTATAGATCTTGCTTTAATCGATCTAACTCATTATAGACCCGTTTAACCCGTTTATGGTAGTATAATTTGCTTATTATATATGGCTGATGTAATCTATTATGATAATTGACAGTATAATTCTTAACATTATTATGACAATATACTAGTATAGATCTTGCTTTAATTTTTAGGTTGAAACTTGAATACATTTTAGTTAATTTCATTGATGAGAAGTGATATGTTATTTGTAAAAAAAACTATTTAAAATTTTAGATGAATGATGTACTTAATGGTAACGAACTGGTATAGAAACAAGTCTGTGTTATGTGTATTAAATAAGTTAAACAGATTATGTTATGTGTGGTAACCCGAAAACGACCTGTTTATTAAACGTATCAAATAGGTCAAATTCGGGTAACCCATTTAATGGTCAGGTTAGTGTTTACACATCTCGACACGATTATTAAACATGTCAGGTTTGAATTTTGAAATTTTCGACACAAATTCAAAATCAACCCGACACGAAATGACCCAACTTGGCATGTTTGACACCCCTAATATCCAGACATTGAAAAATGCACAAGCAGATAACTTCCCCCCCCCCCCCCCCCCTTTTTTTNATGACAATATACTAGTATAGATCTTGCTTTAATCGATCTAACTCATTATAGACCCGTTTAACCCGTTTATGGTAGTATAATTTGCTTATTATATATGGCTGATGTAATCTATTATGATAATTGACAGTATAATTCTTAACATTATTATGACAATATACTAGTATAGATCTTGCTTTAATTTTTAGGTTGAAACTTGAATACATTTTAGTTAATTTCATTGATGAGAAGTGATATGTTATTTGTAAAAAAAACTATTTAAAATTTTAGATGAATGATGTACTTAATGGTAACGAACTGGTATAGAAACAAGTCTGTGTTATGTGTATTAAATAAGTTAAACAGATTATGTTATGTGTGGTAACCCGAAAACGACCTGTTTATTAAACGTATCAAATAGGTCAAATTCGGGTAACCCATTTAATGGTCAGGTTAGTGTTTACACATCTCGACACGATTATTAAACATGTCAGGTTTGAATTTTGAAATTTTCGACACAAATTCAAAATCAACCCGACACGAAATGACCCAACTTGGCATGTTTGACACCCCTAATATCCAGACATTGAAAAATGCACAAGCAGATAACTTCCCCCCCCCCCCCTCCTTTTTTTTCGTCCTCTTCCAGTCATCACAAAAGCATGCAACTCAAGTGAAGCAATTACAGAATTAATTAATTACCACCTCCAACAGCTGCAATGCAGATTATAGTTCACAAAAGATTTTTCATTCATGATTACTAAGAAACAAACAAACACCTGCTTGCACCCCCTTCCCCCTTCCTTCCTCAACAACATTGGCCACTGGGCCACCACCAAAAAGGACGAAAAAGAAAAATTCTATGAAGAATGCAAAATGCAATTGAGGGAGCACCTTGTCAATGATACTCTCGATAACATCATCTGAAAGATTCATACCAGATTCAGCAAGGGTAGCCACTACCATTTGCTTTACCTGCACATTCAAATCTAGAGCATTTAAAGAGTATCAAAATTGAAGAGTAAAGTAAAAAATAGAACAACCAAGTCTGCCACTAAATAACATGGCTTGCCCGCGTCAGATAACTCAGCTGATCCTTTGACAAACATTCAACACCAAAGGGTTATAATGTCCTAACATCTTTGAGTGAATATTAATCCTTACAACAAAAATAGTTACCTCTTGTCTCTCAATGAATCCTTGTTGCTTGAGATCGTATAGTTGGAAAGAAACTGCAAATTAAGTATATATATTTTAAGAATAGATACTGAGAAATATGGATAAAAGGGTGACAAAAAAGCAAGTTCACATCCTCTTAGTACTTATGTAGTATCTCAACATACACTCAATCTTAGCATCAATAGGGGCATTTGGATGAAAGACAGAGAGTGCACGAGCAAACTCTTCAAAACCAAGGATTCCATTGTGTTTGGTGTCAAACAAGTCAAATACCTGAAATTAATGGGTAGTGAAAAGACACCAGCATAGTAAGCTCTCCAGTAATTTTGCAAGATATGGAAAGAAATAGTAGTATGTCAAAGACACGAAAAACAATTGAACGCATTATCAAATCTGATATTTATCTAATATTACAGCTAACAAGTTGAATTCTCAACATATAAAAGCACAAGAACGGTAAAGATTAATCTAATCTTCATCTACTTTGATCCAATTGTACAAAATCTATCCCAAAAAAAAAAAAATCCCGCTCAAAAACATCTTTTTATGCACGACCCCTAATGTCAAACAACTTAGTCAACATATTAACAGACTTCTCAATACCAAACAATCTCATTAATTCACATCTACCTCTCTTTTCTCTCCCTTCATTTTAATGTTAAATTGCGTAATTAAAAAAATTAAATTAATATTTAAAATATAAATATGTAACTAAGTGTGCATATGTGTCGATATATGATTGTACTTTGTACAGGTAGATATAAATTTGAAAATTTCATACTATATAACTGTTTAAAAGCTCGTGCAAACTGGTGGAATGTGTCTACTAAGTAAAATGCTATCAAAAAGTGAATGTTAATGTGATGACTACATATAACAACTTTTAGGCATACTGTACCCGATCGGCAAATAAGCTCTCCTTCTTGTTTGTCTTGAATAATGCCAGTTGAAACTCTTCCTGCAACCTCATCATTCAATTTTACAGATAAAGTTGGGGAAAGTAACAGCATCTATATGAGGAAAAGAAACTATAGAGAATAAATTAATGAATGGATGATGTGACAATGACGTTTGCATCACAATGTTTAAACAGAACAAGAGTAAATCATTGGCAGCAATGATCTACACGAGGACAAATGCGAACCTTGTTGATTAGTCCATCATCTGTCACAGCACTGCTAATCTTCTTGAATAACTCATAAAGTGCTTCTATTTCACTGACACTAACTGCATTCATTGAGGGCAATCACAATCTTAAGTGCACAGGTACATTGCTTTTTCATCATAATGGGAGAGATAAAACACACGATTAGCATGGGTAACAAATATAGAAAGCCAAGTCAAATAATATAAACTCTTACCATGCCAAAATCACTGTCAAATCGCACAGAAAACAAAATAGATTATTTGGATATGAAGTAGAAATTTATAACAGAACAAAACAGCCTAGAAGTTTATACAGATGGAATGTAAAAGCTAACAAACCCACCATCAGAAACCGATCACTAAGCAACTTAGGACCTAAGAAAATAACTCATTTTGATTGTTTCATAGCTTCATATGTTCATTTGAGATAAGGCAAAATTAACAGGTTGCGAGAATCTAGGCTGATGGCATACAAACTGTCTCTCTTGCGAGAACCTCAGGATCTTCAAGGTCCCTCAATTGTCTATAGAGATCTAGATCACAACACTGCGGCAGGGAAGCACAAAAATGCCTGACCGCTTCTAAGCACTGCAACATGGTACTGACTGCACATTAAAACACTCCATATCTGTTTTGAGAAAAAAGGTCAAAACACTTCATTAGGGTGCCTGACTGATGCAACATGGGTACTTGCGCATAGGAAGAAATAGAACAAACCTTTTGCTCATTTCCTGCTGCTGCAGCCGTAAGAAAACAAAGGATTATAGGAACAGAAGGCACTCAAAACTATATCTCTGTCGGGAATGAATGAAATTCTCCATCAGCACATATCACAAATTACAACTTCAAAATTATTCAAAAACTTTGAACCAGAAGAAAAGAACTGAAAAAAGCCAAAACAAGATGGTCATAACTGCATCATGTCATGACGAAAGTCTATGATTAAATAGTTCTAGTGACCTGTAATTTTTCTGTTACTTATAAATGTAGCATTGTAATTATCTGTGTAGAAGTAGTCAATGTTCATAGCATAATTCTGACACGAGATTAAGCCATTATGAAGGACTGAAGTAACAAGAGAAAACAAAATTCTCTTGAGGAGTGAACATTTTTTAGAAGATTTACAAATACAGATTCATCTCATACAAAAGTAAGCATTATCCAGTAAAAAAACCACTGCTCATGAAATCTACCCCACTCTTCAATGTTTACCAATGACACTAAAAACATTACAATGCGATTTCGGTTCAAATTGGTTTGCTTGATGCAAAAATATCCTATACCAGCTGATAACCCCCAACCTGTATACCACCAAGTCAATAAGATCTAATTTTCACAGGAGTAGGAATTTACCAAACCATGTAGCTACCTCAAATCCCTAGTACAATTGCTATAGCAATTTATACAAACCTGAAGAAAACACAAAAACCACAAACGTAATCTACCTCAAGAACTAAAACAATCTCTACGAACAACAAAAAAAAGCTAAGAGAAATATCAGAGCCAGAAATATTTCGATCCAATATCAAATCGTTTCGAGGACATGTGAATCGACGTATCTCTCAGCATAACTACAAGAGAAATTCGACAAAATTCAGATCTCGCTTCAAAACTGAATATTCGAATGGTTCGAAATTTTGAGACCAATAGGTTTTGTACGCAAAATTTGTCATTACCTTTCGACAGCTTAGAGAGATCGAAGCAAAGATGAGTTCAGGCTCTGCAACATAGACACCAGAGAGAGGGAGGGAGGAAGTGAGAGAGAGACGTACATACATACATAAAGAAATAATATTTTCGAATAAATAATATATTTAATGTAAATAAAACAATTGTAAAATTTTATTTAAACTTTTTTTTTGAACAACGAACAATTGTGAAATTGCTCAACAAAAAAAAAAAATTGTAAAATTGTGAATAACATGAAGATGTTGATAGAGACCCGCTTTAATGAGGCATTTGTTTGGATTTTAGGAGGCACGACGCCGTTTTGGTGCCATGAAGTTCAGCGATGCTGACAGCGCTTTACCCTAATAATATAAGAATAAGAATAAGAATAAGATGCCCCCACCACCACCACCACACATACATTATTAATATACGTAGATATGGGCAGATATTAATACCTGCCAGCCTGGTTTCGTGTGCTATTATTTTTTGGGTCGCGATCCGTTCGCTATCTATAGTCACTAAAACTCATGTAAATGGGTTTATATAGATGGTATTAGTTTTTTGGATTTTGGCCACCAACTTACTAAATTACCTCTCGGCCTATAATGTTAGTATAAAATTTGGCCACCAGTAATTTTTTTTTTTAATTTTATTAAATATTTTTTAAAAATTTCTGATTTTGAATTTTTTTACTTATATTATGTTTAAGAGTATAGTGTCACTGTTTCTTTTTTTAAATTTTTAAAAAAAAATTATTTTAAAATTTTTACTTATACTTTGTTTATGTGTACAGTGTCATAAATTTTTTCCTTGTATTATGTTTAAGCATACAATATCACTGGTTTTTATTTTTAATTTTTTCCTTGTATTATAGCATTATTCTTATATTTAAGCATACGGTATCACCAATTTTTTTTTTACAATTTTTTTTTGTACATACATCTGGAACATATATATCTTAATTTTTTTTTGTATGGCGTCACCAATTTATAGCATCAAATTTTTTATTTTTTATGCTAATTTTTTTACATTATTCAAAATTTTTTGGTATAGATTGTCATATCATGTATTACACCGAACATTATGTAAAAGTGTTACACAAACAGAGTAATGAAATGGATGATGCTAAAAGTAAAATTGTATATTTATTATATTAGATACGATAGAATAGATAACTGTTTATGAGACCCACCATAATACCAATTGAACTAACAAATATGGGAGCGGATTAAAATACTTCCTATTATCGGTACTAATTTTTATTAGTACTAGAAATGTAAGTAATACATTTTGTCAATACCATGTATAGTAATTCTCAAAACAAACATACCCTAGTTGTTTAGTTAGCTAGCATTGGTTTCCTGTGCACCTATTGTATTAATTATAATAAATTATCAAACAATTTTTCGTAAATATTAGGTGTCACGATTATATTATGTATAACCATCCAATAAGAAAAAATTAATTGAATAAAATGTATCCCCTTTTTTTTACATAGAATAGTTATTACATAATATAGATAAATAGTTATTTAATTTAGTAAAATTAACTTGTCATCTATTAATGAACGATTACACCATTTCAAACTTATTCTCTCAACAATTTCAATGTCTCATGTTGTTTGTCTACTCCAGGTTGTGGACGATGTCACAACATTTCCCTAAAATGGAATTATTTTTGAGGTTTCATCCCATAAAGTCTGAAGAAGAGAAGGTACAAAATACCTAAATCATGATAATATATATTAGTCTTTCTTTTCCTGCTTTTCTTTTTTTGAGTATTTACAAATTACAACTCATCTTTTTATTCTCTTGTATAATATATATATTATGTATTATGCCTCTCTCTCTCTCTCTCTCTCTCTCTCTCTCTCTCTCACACAGTTTGAGTCTTAAGGAAAAGTAAGAGACAAATAACCAAACCTCCAACAAAACCGAAATGGATAAAGAAATAGAATTATACATAAAACTTGCTACAAGCCTACAAGTGGCATTTTGAATCATATTAACCCCATCTCTATGCAAAGGATGAAGGAAAGTTTAATAAGCACGGGAACTCCCTAAGTTGTCGTAATTCTGAATTAGAAGTAAATGCTCGAGCAATACTATAAGAATCAAATTTAAAGACCTAATTTATTACCGTCATTAAAGAAAGACCCAAATAAAAGCTATAATTGATTAGGCACGGGTAGCTGCGTCAAACGCAATAATTGATTAGACGGTGGGGTTCAAAATTTGATGGACCCACCTTCAATTTAACGCTATAATTGATTAGGCATGGGTAGCTACATCTAACTATAGCAGTCAAGATGAAGGCAAGCTCGTTGTACAGCAGTGGATAAATTGAAGAATACAGCACAAAAAATGTCCGTTGACTCCAGATATTTAATGATTTCAGAATCATCCCTTCATCTCCTTTTATCGTCCCTGTAAGGTCCCTCACTTTCTTGGTCCTTCAAGAAGCCCAGGAAAGCAAGAAAGCCGAAGAAGAAGAACCCGCCTGACCAATGGCCTCCCCCGCCACCTCCACCACCCCCGCCACCATCATCATCACGGGGTGGAAATCCAGTTCCACCATCATCAAGTTCTGGAGACTTTTCCTTCCCTGGAATGCAATCACATTTTATAAACAGCTATAGATAGTCCATCAGAATAATCAAATAAACAAAAAATAGTAAAACTTCCAATTTTACAGCCGACAAAATTTTTGCGAGCAGTTGGAGTCAGATATTCAGAAGCTGAGTTTTGTTGAAGTAGGAAGGGTGGTGTGTGTCAATCATGGCGCCTTTAAAGAAGCTAAGCCGTTCATGAGTCAATAATGGAACAAAACAAAATAGGCTTCATGCGTGCAGTCTCAAAGAAATAAGAGACTACCTTGAATGGGAGCAACAGTAATGGTTGATGATTGCCGTGTAACTGTTTGGGTCTGCTCTGCACCGCATCTTGCATTCTGCAGATGTAGAAAGGAAAAATCAAGATTCCAGACCTAAGACAAATTCAATGGAACTGGCAATTCCAAGCATCTATGAAGAAAACAGAAAAAAAAAAAAAAAAAAA